TAAAAAACCGCAGACCTCGTCCATTAGAAGTTTTCATGTATCTCCTCTGGTTTTCGAGATAGTACTTCCGAGTCGAAACTTTGAGGGGTGGTTTCACCCCCTAAATATGAAAACTGGCCGCTATAAAAAAATACGTATCTCTTATTTTTCGGTCCTCTAAAACATATCCGAAAACCAAAGCAATCGAAGGCGGACACCTAAAATACACTCCTTGTAAGTCCAACTCTTGCATCAATTGTAGAACAAAACTGTATCCCTCGTTAAATTGTCCAGCAGCCAAGAAGGAAGCGATTTCAACAATTTTGAAGCCGCAATGTAGATGCTTAGGTACCAGACGCCACACGGTGGAATTAAAACTTCTAAATTGTATTTAACCCTCATCCGTCCCTTGTGTCAATTTGAGACAGTTTGCTCCTAAGAAATGACGTTATTTTGTCATGTCTAGTTATATTTAGCTGAGGCTTTGTGATTTATGCCTTAAAGAATTTGCAAATGTAACTACTTATCACTTGATTGTAGTAATTTTTACCACTGGGTCTATTTGACAACGAGGCACAAATTAAGTTGGGAAAATGAGGGACGGATGAGGGTTAAAGTAGCTTCCGCGTTTGGTGTCGTATCTCTAGCTGGGGCTCCATATGGCGCTTTATACTTTTTATCAATTTTACCAATTTAATTAGAATGATTCAAGTATTAAACTACTTCAAAATACTTAAACGGAGAACAAATTTACAAACAAGTGGAAAAAACAAACATTTCTTTTCTTTATTGCAAAAAAAGATAAATTTTTTTTTACAACAATGCAATTTCCTCCGGTCTTTTAGCACTTTTATTACAATATATGAAAATGTAGAGATTCTTAATTCAAGAATATAAATGTTTTCGAAAGATCGTAATGATTATTGATCTGACAGAAATAAATATATAATATATCGGTATATCGCCGGTGGTTCTGGTGTTAAGACAATAAAATCAATATCGAGCAACGTCCCCTCCCCCTCAGTTCGTGAGCTATATGAATTCAGAGAACTTCCTCGTGAAAGAATGAACATTCGGTATGCGGAAATATCAATCATCGTTTGGATACCAATACAAATTGGCGGACAATTTTTGGGAATAAAAGGGGAGGCTGTTCGTGGTGGTGGTGGTGATGGCTCGTAACACGAAAATATTACGATCGTCGATCAACGGAACGTCCTCGTAAAAAAAAAAAAAGAAAGAACGAAGGAGAAAAATGGAATAAAAGGGGAAAAGAGGGTGGTTGCAGGGCGATAAAAGAAGGGACGGAGAAAAAGAGGTATCTTCTTTATCTGGACGGATACATGTAAAGAGGACCACCCCCCACCCCCCTCCCAGTCGAGTGGGAAAATGATTTATCGTGTCGCTGGATGGGACTCGAGGCCACTTGATAACGATAAATAGAGGCGAAGGAGCCGTATTCGCGAAGTTAAATAGGAAAACGATGTTACTTGTTTATTTGCGTTCGTTGCGAGCACTATCCCCCCCCCCCCCGGAAAAGTCATTACTTCGTCCACTTTATTTACCCTCATTCGATCAACTACAGAGTATACACTCTATGGTCAGTGGTTTTCAACCCTTTTGTAAAAATAAAAGAAATAATCTCGCGGATCTCTGAGACAGCAAGTAAAAACCATTGTTTATACAGTGTGTCGCGTTTAAATGTGACTCCACGAATATCTTTTTTGATTGTGAAAACACAAAAAATATTTTATGCCTAATTTGAATGTTATTAAGCGGTCAGTATCCCGAGGGCGTTGTTTTTTTCTCTAAGATATCAAAATCATCGATGTTCTTTTTTTTCAAATAACTACATATTTCTTCTAGCTCATATCACAGTACATGAATTACACGATGCAATTGAAAAAAGTAGTTATTCGAGACAAAACAGGATTTACGAACGGAAGTGCGTACAGGGGCAAAATGAAATCGAATTTTTTTTTTTACGAAATTTTCATATACAATCGGGACCATTGTTCGCGAGGACTGTATTTGATCAGAAATATTTCAAAAATTCCTATTGAAGCGCGTCAGGATATCACGTTTAAATTGAATACCATGCTCTCCGCCATTCCATCCCCGGATCGTTTCTAACCCTACTTATTACTCACGTCGAATCACCGTATTTCTTCTTCCCTCGGTGCGGGTACGTGATCGGTAAATCTGACGCAAGCGTTTTATCGTGAAACGTCAGTGCAAGTCGGAATAGAATTTGAATAATTTGTTTCGGTAACATTGTCCTTAAGGGAAACAATTTTTTTTCCATAGAATTGCCACTTAGCGCCAAGCTGGATGCCGGAGCTGGATACGTTGGTCGAGACATTGTCTCGAGGGAAGAGCCATCGTGATTTCCGGTTATGGTTGACCTCTGCGCCTTCGCCGGACTTCCCTGTCAGCATCCTTCAAAACAGCGCGAAAATGACGATCGAACCACCGAGAGGCATAAAGGCACGAAACGATAACGTGTTCAGGAACCACAACACCCATTTCCAATTCGTATAAAACTATTTATTCTTGTTCAGGCGAACATGTTCCGCGCTTACTTAACCCAAGTGCTCGAAATGCAAAGTTTCCTGCAATCTGGCCACCCGAAAGTGTCTCAGTTCAAGTGGCTGGTGTTCTCTCTCGCCTTGTTCCACTCGGCTCTTCTCGAGAGGCGAAAATTTGGCCCGTTAGGCTTCAATATACCGTACGAATTTACAAACGGCGATCTAACCATATGCGTCTCGCAGCTTCACATGTTCCTGCTGGAATACGACACTGTGCCGTTTAAGGTGAGCTTTCTTAAGCTTAATGTTCAACGGATATTAATTACAGCTAAAAAATTTCGAAGGTTCTGATATACACGGCCGGTCACATCAACTACGGCGGACGAATTACCGACGATTGGGATCGTCGATGCGTTCTGACCATCTTGGAGGATTATTACAAACCCCAGATTCTCTCGTCGTCGTACACGTTCGACGAAGAAGGACGCTATCATCAGGTACGAACTGCGAAGCTTAATGAAAATACAGTAATGTCTCGATGAGTGCAATGTCTCGGCTCCACTTCGGAGAAAGGTTCTCATAAATTTATTTTTTGCCCCAAACCGAGCCACTGCTTAGCTTCTGTTCACTCTGTTTTGATTGGTTCCGCGGGGGAACCCCCCAGTGATGGGAATAACGCCGTTACTCGCGTTGCATTCATCGAAGAATCACTGTATGGACAAAGCAATATGGCGGCACAGAACCGTTAAATGAACTTTACGCTGTCGGTAACACAGTGAACGTAAATACCGACAGTAGTAGTTGTCTATTCCAATTTTGATATTTCCATTCACTTTAGTTACCGGAAACGGCAACGTTCGAGGAATACATCGAATACATAAAGACGTTGCCGTTGAACGACGAACCAGCGATTTTTGGAATGCACCCGAACGCCGACATAAGCTGTGCTCAAGCGGAAACATACTCCTGTCTCGAGACGCTTCTTGCTCTTCAGCCGCGAGAAGTCGGAGCCGCGGCGGCCAGTACCGAAGAGGTTACGAACCAATTAGCCGTGGATATGCTATCGGATATGCCAGAGACCTTCAACTTAGCCGCATTACAAGCTAGGTATACCCGACGAAACTGCACTTTCACAATGTAGTCGCGATGAATCTGGCAAATCTGGGTTATCTTCTACTAGTTTACTCGGATGTCTGACGCAGGGAGCGAAAGTTTCAAGATCTTCATCTTTCCTCGAACTCCATTTTATCAGTGAAACCGCCCCCACCCCCCATTCGTCTCCGCTTTGCCTGGGATTCTCGATATATTCTCTTTGACTCATTTATTCTTCTATCGGTAGAGGATTAAACTTTCTATTCTTGAGAATAATGTACGGCAATAAATTGTTCGATTCTGTCATAAACGTATTGTAGAAGTGGGGTGGTAGGCTTAGAATATACTGGGAGGAATGATCCATAAATCATTCCGATGATTGTTCCCTCTGATATTGCGAATTCGAGGACAGATGCCATGGGTCTCACATTTATCTTGCATGTATTCGTGACGTGTCACCCGCAGATTAATTAAACCGTTCCATTCGACGGAAGGCACTTAATGAAATAAAACGTATCAGGTATCCTGTCTTGTACGAGGAGTCGTTCAACACCGTGTTGCTGCAAGAAGCCATACGTTATAACGGGCTGTTGGTGGTGGTAAAAAGCACATTGGTGGACCTCTTGAAAGCTTTGAAGGGGCTGGTGGTGATGTCCGAGCAATTGGAAACAGTGGCGAACAGTTTGTACAACAACAGGATACCGAAAGTTTGGCAGGACAAGGGCTATCCGTCGTTAAAACCACTCGGTAACTTTCCTACTTGAATCTCTTTGCGTTGGAACGTTCGAATTCAATATTTCAATTCCCAATTATTATCTTCTGATCGTTTTATTCGATTCTGAATTATGACAATTTGAAATACAGGTGCTTGGTTTCTCGATCTAAAGGATCGAATCGCGTTCTTGAGATCGTGGGAGGCACGAGGTATACCGGCAGCCTTCTGGATTTCCGGTTTTTACTTTCCGCAAGCTTTCTTGACCGGCACCCTGCAGAATTTCGCGCGCAAACATGTTGTCTCTATCGATACGATTGACTTCAGTTTTCAGGTGCTTCTTAAATAACAAGTGTATTTTCTGTTTTGTATTTTATGTTTAAAAAAATAGAGGATTTTAGTTGAATTTCCAACACTGTAGGTATTAAGTGAAATGCCAAACCGTAGACCAGTGGACGGTTGCGCTATCTATGGCCTATTCCTTGAAGGATGTCGATGGAACAAGGACCACTTGGACGAGTCCCTTCCGAAGGAGTTATACACCAGTATACACGATTATTAAATATTTTTAATAATACTGTTATTGTAAACGTTGAATTTCAATTAAGTCAATTTTTTCTTATATCACATCGAAATACTTCTTTTATATTTATTCAATGATAGAAACTCCAAGAATCGCAGTACTTGCAATTATCCTTAGATATAACTGCGAAAATAATTTTTCACTTTTTCAATCAGTTCAAAATATAACGCTGCACCGACGAGCTCTTTCAATGTTTATTTTACAGACATGCCTCCAATCCTACTGTTGCCGGAGGTGAATCATCGGAAGCCTAGCGGAATTTATTCCTGCCCTGTTTACAAAACAATCAGCAGGGCTGGAACATTGAGCACAACAGGACACTCGACCAATTTTGTCCTGGCAATGGAAATACTCAGTAAAAAACCTGAAGCCCATTGGATCAAAAGAGGTGTAGCCATGATATGTGCTCTAGACTATTAGCAACACTCTGAATGTTGTCAAATTGATGTTGAAAAATTGATGGAACCTTTCTTTATAACATTTAACCCTTTGCGCTCGAGGCGCTTTTTCGTCGGGTGAACCAGCAACTCGAGAGTAATCAGCCGCTCCCGCTTATTTCATGAGTTCGTTATTGTTAACTTAAAAAATTTTTAGACACAATAAAACACTTTAAACTCGTATATTTGAACATTAAAAACATAAAAAAAAATTTGAACATAAAAAATATGTAATTTTTTAACTTAATGAAAGACATTTATTAAAAATTACTCTTATGGGCAAGCTGTCTATGTAGTGATGTAATTTCGTTTGTTACTGCCGAAAAATTGAACTCATCTTCACTAGAAGTAATTTCTTCGTCGTATTCCATACTTATTGGGCTCAGTAACTTTGAAAGAAATAATGCGATCGACAAGAAGGTTGAGTTCGAACTGATGTCGAAGCCAGAGTTCCAACCGCGGTCGCTAGTATTTTTGAGATAAGACATTTTATCGCATAAGCGGTGCTAAGACGTCCTTTATTTCAGATAACACACCCTTATAGCTATTTAGACACCGCGTAATATGATCTACAAAAGGCCAAGTAGACCTTTCAAGCGATATTCCTTAGGTCAAACACAAATAAACACATCGATTCGAATGGTGCCTCTCAGGCACCGCTCGAGTTATCGCATCACATGCAGTGGTGCCTGAGAGGCACCGCTCGAGCGCAAAGGGTTAAAATAAACGCACAGACGCAGCTCGCTAATTCAAACTATACTATCGAAAGAATTACGATTTGTTTCATCTGATTTAATCGTATTCGAGTATCCGTATAACGAAACACAAAAATTGAAAAATTATCTCTTCATCTTAATCCCGAGAACTATTTTATACATCATTTTCATACAACTTTGGGTCCTTTCTGTGAAAGTTCTTGTTCTCTGCCAGACTCCATTTGCAGAGAGATGCCGTTAATACCACAACTACAAGAAAAAACAACTGATAAAAACGTCGTAATGGATTTAAAATCGTTACCATTAATATTGAGATTCGTTTTTCTTTGTCATTTTTAGTGGTTTAAATTCACGGTACCACCAAGGAAAATTATCATATCGTTGATCTTGTTTTCCATTTTGATTCACAATACCTGGAACTACTACTTTACTACCGTCCACCATTCGCCGCAACATATTTGGTAGGCTGTGCGATATAATCTTCGCCCAATAATTCTGTTCCATCGATGTCAGAGTGTAATACGCAACTCTACGTATTCGAACCGGTAAATTTCCAAACTCTAAGCCCATCGTAAATCCTCGCTTCTTTCAAACTGTTAACAAACTGACAACGATACAGAAAACAAAGAAACCCCGTACAAATCGATATTTCTATTTTACAACCTATGTGAGACTAAATTCATTCTATAAAAATGTATAGGGGTACTTGAATAAACATCCTTGGTATTAACGATATAGAAAGTGTTCTGTCTTTTTTTACGTATATACGTAATACTAAAACATTTATTGTAGCAAAATGTGCACATATTATATACAGTACAGGATATAACTTTTGGATGACCAAAATATGTATATCTAGATATACATAAATAATGTACAAAACAAAAGAATATTTTGAAATCTACAACTAAATATGTTCTAAATTTCAGACGCAAAATTTCTGGGCATACGATCCGCAATTTTTTTTGGAATAACAAATTTTGTTGAGTCCTGTTCTAATAAACATCCTAAAAGACGCGGAACTGACAACACAGTGCCAGATATTACTGAAGGGAAAGCTCTTCCATCTGGTGTCTGATATGCTATAAGTAGCCTTTTACTCAAGTACTGTCCACACACAGAGAGGTGGCCAACTTCTATGTACTGTTTCGAAAATGAAGACCACAATTCAAAAGACACACGCATAGTCTCCCAAGGTCGTAATTCCGTCACTGGTCTCGTAACAACTTGATAATGATCACATATATTATCGTACAGTTTGCAGACGGTATTCAGCAGTCCTTCAAATAGTTCATGATATTCTTGACTATTTACATCTTTCACTAACGCAAACGCATGTGCAACCGATGCCTGGGACACAGTGAACAATCCAATCGGTGTCGAAGTGCTTGGAAAAGGTGTATACTGTCTCCCAGTTGCGAAATATTTTATAGGGAAATTTTTCGGATTTATCACTTGCTTCGCGTGCATCGCTAAAAATGAAATCAAACTTGCACCCCCAACAAGATGCATATGATTGGAGACATTTTTATTCGCTTCAGAGTGATTGTCTATTACGAAAGAGTCCATGGGATCCTCGTGATTCAAACCAGAACCTTCTATCATCAAGCTACGGCTGAAATCCGCGCCTGCTACTCTGATCATATCATTCTCACTGAGTATGTTTCCCGCATAACTTAGAACACCAAGTTCAAAAAGAGCTGCATCATTGCATAGATAATATTGCATAGGATTTCTGTATTCCAATAAACCAAGATCTTCTCCAATTTCAATGTGATTCTTTCTATTTTCTGTTGCTGGTAATGTACTCAATGTACCAAAAGATTTCATTACAGTGGGAGACTGAAGGGGTGTTTTTTCATCCACTTCATTTGGCAATTTTAATATCTTTTCTATAATGGTTTCCTCTAAATTCCATAAAGTATTTCTAATAGACTTGAAATCTTGTCTCATTGATTTAAATTCAAAGTTTAATTGAGTCAGTTGTACCTCATCTTCAGGAGATAAATCCTTTTCGTAAAAACTTTTTATCTGTTTCGATAACTCCTCCACTTTTAAGTCTAATTCTTTCTTATCTACATACACTGATTTATAAAATTCCCATGCTTTCTTAATTTCCTTGGCATCAATGTCCACTCCTCGTGCTATTAAATTTTTTTGTAATTTTTCAAGATCAGCTATCCTATCCTCAATGTCTAAATATGGTGTAAGAACTGCAGTGATTTCGTTAGCCTTTCTGCCCGAAACAAATAATGTAGAGGTATAATGTCTGCTCAAGTTCAATGACGCATTAATGAACTTTAAAGAACCATGCTTCATGATATTGTTAACAATACATATTCGTGCAAAGTATGAAATATAGTTTGCCATTGTAAATATACAATAAAACAAATATATTATTTTCTTTGCAAGATGAAATCAATTTCCTAAATAAATAACAATTATCACATTCCATACAAATTCATGTTTACGCGTCAAGTTTTGCTACTTTTGTTTGTGGTGTAACATCTGATTCTGCATCCATTTGAAAACTTTCACGTGTAATGGTCTCAATTTTACGTTTCTGAGGAGCAATGTAATTTCCCTTTCCAGCAGCTCTTTCTGAATCTTCTATAGTATACGGTTCTGTTTCTAGAGCTTTTAGTCTTCTTTTGTGTACTTTGGTTGTGAAATGATCTTGCAAAGCAGTGTTATTTATAAAATGTCTCCTGTAAGAAACAATCAAACAATTAGTCAAATGTACTAATCATAGATTTTAAAAAGTGAAATTTATCAACACTGTACATTGTTCCTTTAGAGTTACAATTTTCAACATTTTCAAAATTTCAAATCTAAACAAAATTCATAAACTGATTTTAAGTTACAATTTGAAAGTAAATGGACCGTGCAACTGTAAGGAAGTAAGTATAGGTTAAAACGATCAAGATAAACCATTACACAAGAATTTTATGAATACTTACGCGCAGTGTAAACAGTAATATTGGCCCGCTCCGGGTTTATCCAAATCTACTTCTTGATTTAGCAACTCTCTTACATTTTCACCTTTCAAATCCGCGTTGATCTAAAATAAAGCATATCAAATAACAATTGCCGATCGTGAGAGAATGTCACACACGTGTGACACGCATGCTCTGACGAAAAGATTAGAACATTGTTACACTACCTCGTCTAAATCTTTCGTTCTTCTTTTCGTTCGCCAACCCTTTTTCAAATGTGTATCTCCCCTGTGATATTTCCTGCGTTTGTAAGTCATTATCGGCGGAAAATTAACGCGATGAACACAAACCACTAACACATTATATAAGTATCACGCAACGAAGACTGACGAAGACGAAGACAGTTTCCGTTTAACGAGAAAAGTAAACTGCTCGATGACGTCAAAGTTGATTTAACCAAATTCGGTGTATTTATTTTCAACGCGCTTGGAAAATAAGGAAAAATCTATTAACTATCAGAATCTATGTGAAAGATACGAATATTTTATCAGTACCATATTATCGGAAATAAATATTAATTCACAAGTTCATACATTGTCATAACGCAGGTTTCGTTGAAAGTTCAGATTATTGGTATGATTAAATTACAATCTTATTACTTTCTTGGAAATATAACAAAGCTGCGCAATCATAAAATAATTAATTAATATTTAAAGTTTTAAGGATAAGCCTAAAAAGCATAGTGACGCCGTCTAATGTTAGAAAGCAGACACTATCCAGCTTGTAGCTTATGCGTTATATCGTAGATGTCACGACGAGTGTATTTGATGTATTATCAAATTAATTAAAACCATTACAACCAACTCTTCCTAATTCACAATATCGATTGAGGAGGATATTTTAGGAAAACTGACACTATTAGAAATCATTTTTAAGCGCAATTTACACAGGTTTCTTGTATTTTTCAGACTATCCGCCATTAAATGTCACGGCATAAGAAAGAGCTCTAGTGACTCCCGAATTGCCGGAATGAACTGAGAAATTACTTAACAGTTGATATACTTAATTCACGTAATAAATGCTTTTCTTGTTACCCATACATTGATTTGCGTAGTTATCAGAAATTCATAAATGCAATTATAGAATTATTACGAACTTTCAGTCATTGAATAAAAAATAAGATGTCATGGCGGCGTTGTCGTTCATAAAAGAACTCGTTAAAAGGTTATAGCGGTGATATAATGTTTAAGTTATCTTAAACGTTGTAAGTAATATTAACAGTCACAGTTTTCTTTATGCTGCAATATTTATTTAGAGGTTACTACTTGTTACACGTTTTCCGATATAAAGTATATTGGTTGAAATGTTATAACCGGTACATCTGCTGGAAGTGAAAACAGTAGTTACTAAAATTCAACATTTTTTATTGGACGTGTCATCCAAAACCATGAAATTTTAGAGGTAATAACTTCAATCGATAGAATAATATAGAATTAACATGATTTAAAGCTATGTTGTGAAGGTACATCTACACTGTTGCCAAAAAATTGAGGAGGCCAACTAATCCTTTGTGTCAACACTTGTAGTCTAAACTTACGAGTCTTTCATACCACTGCCTGCCACTGCCAACAATAAGAATCAAATTTCTATGCGCTTATCATTTTATTGCAAAATCGATTCATATACGTCAAGTCCACACTGATGCAAACATTGTGTTACTAATACCAAAGAGGAATTTCCTGCCTGCTAATATAATTCGCTAACAGTATTAATAAAAACTAGAGGTTGAATAGTTTACGTAGTACAATTGGCGAAAAAATAATACAATGAGTAACATAAGAAAGTGACTTGCGCAAAGGTTTCGAAAAAACTATTTTCGATGTCTTTTTCTTGCTTTACTATTTAAAGCAATTCTGTACAGCACTACACGAGACTAGAATGTTGTCATTGCTTCACACATTTACAATTACTTATGATTATGTTAATGTAAACATCGTGCAGTAAATACCATTATTTCAAATCGATTGTTACAAAGTAGTGACAAACTAAACTATTTGTTCGCTAAAACGGCGGTATTGGCTGGCAGTATTCTCGTTGATGTGAATTCGACGTAAGGAAAATTAAAGAATGTAAACACGGCCTAAACACCAGGGGCATGCGCATCGTGTGTAAGAACGGTTTCCCTTGAAAGTTGTGTAACGCGAAACCGACGCCGAAAGATGTCGCAAGTGTGATCCAGAGTAGGTCGCGCCTCTATCGGCGAAGCGTACGATCAATTCAAACAAACGGTGCGCCACTGGCGAGGGGGGTCCAGAAGCATTTCGAAAGTAAAAATACTGCGCGACCCGGGATTTTGTTTGTACGGTTCGGCGAGGGTAAAAAAGCCGAGGGCCAGGCCGTGGTGTAGTCGGGGCAACGCGGTGTCGCGCGTAAAATGACGTAGAGTGTGCGAGTAGGGTGTGCCGCGCGCGGTACGAGGTTGTGTGCAGCGGAAACGGTGTCGCGGTGTGTAGGGTCGGCGCTGCTCGCGTAGCTATCGTAGCGTACACGGGAAATTGGCCGTGGCTTCGCCAATGGATGCCAGGCAGGAGGAGACGCCATTTTGATATACGGGCGCACGTCAAGCGTTCGCTCCAAGGGAAACGCGCTCTCGTGAGGTCGGGTCTGTAGCCGCGTCCGGTCCGCGCGGTCGAATTCGTTGGCACGGTCCGGTTCACGAGTCTTGTTGGTAATAGGTGTGCGTGGCGCAACGTATCCCGAGCGAGCGTTTCGTTGACAAGTGACAGGTGAATCGATCCGCGGGGCCCGCGAGGAAAGTCGCGTTGCGGCCCCCGTGTGCCCGTATACGCGGTCGGGTTCGCTCTCTCGCGGTCGATCGGTAGTGACTAACTTGTGTGTGGAACCTACTACGTGTACACGGAACCCAGGATTCGGATTTTTCCCCACGCGTGTGGCGAGAGAGTTTCTCGGTGCGACGAGCGAGGGACACGCACGGTGTGCTAGGCTCTCTCTCCTGTATATATATTGGTGCGCCGATCCTCTCCCGGGGTGGCGGTGTGTGTACACGGGCAGCCAGACAGGGAAAACCAAGCCGCCGCCGCTGCCGCCGCCGCCGTCTCGTCTCGTCTCGTCTCGTATCGTTTCGCGCGCGCGACAGTGTGAGGCCACCGGCCGCCACTTCGGGCCAGGACAAGACGACCCGATGTCGGGAGCGGGTCGCGACCCCGTGTCGACCCGTGGTCGTCCTCGTCCTCGTCCTCTATTGAACACCTTCGCCGCCTCCTGTCTGATACCACCAGGACGCTCCTGGCGTAAATGTGCTCTAATGAGCGCCCATGTGTTGCTGGGCCTATTTCTCCGACTGCTGCCCCTACGTGCCCTGTAAACCCAGAGCACACCCTGATTAGCACGCCCACGCACTCTATCGCTCGCGAATATGGCCAAGATCCTGAACAAGGACCCCGTTACCTATGAGAGGGAGAGGGAAAACTTCCTGAAGGACCTCCGTCACTTTCATGAAACCAGAGGGTAAGACATTCTTTCCATATCGTTGTTTCCGATCTCCAAGCATCTTTTCATTATGTATCTCGTCTTATTCAGTTTTTTTTCTTCGCGAAGTACTTGTAATATTTCACATGAACATTTCTTTTTTCGACGTTCAGTAAGTTCGAACGTTTTCTTAAGTTCTGGGAACGGTAGAAATTTTCGTTTCACGAGAGCGAATCGAGTTTGGCGTTTCTACCGTAGAGTATGGCCAGATTTGAGGTTATGTACGTTCGAGTTTAAAGTTTTCCGTCGACTCTTGCCTTTGTGTTACGAGTTATGTGTTTACATTGTTCCGTGTTTTCTTTGTCGAGAACGATTCGATGCGTATCCGACTACGATCGAGGTTATATATTCGATCGAATGTTGCGATATTACAATGAACTTGCTAATTCTCTCTCTCTCTCTCTCTCTCTCTCTCTCTCTCTCTCTCCCTCTCTGTGTGTTGGTGATTTGTTCGTCTCCCAGTTGTGTTACGTTCATTGTAAACGCCACGCTCTTTCTCTCTCTGTCTGTTTCTCTGTCTTTCTTGGATTGGTTGTCGGATTTTGATACATAGTATGCGAAACGTTCGAATCGCCGCGTCGTGCAAACGAAGATCGTTTCACGCGAAGACGCTGCCGTTTATTACGTCATTGTTCGCGTGTTTCACTTGGTTCGGAAACGGAAACAAAGCGTCCTCGATTATACCGAACAATTTTAACTTCGGTAAGAATTGAAAATAGCACAATTCAATTTGAATGCTAATAAGATCAATTTGTTTCAAAGAAATTGTTAACTGAGTATATATTGAAATTACATAAAATCACCATACGAGGTATCGTTTATTTCTAATTTTTCTTGCATCCATAGCGTATATCATTGCTTGTCATTCATTTTAAACGATAATTAAATGATGTAGTATGTACTTAATACACATTTATTGAAGTATGAAATGTAAGTTCTTTATATCTTTAACAACTTACTGTGGAAAATACTATATTAAAAATTAATTTATTTTTGTTAAATATAGAGACATTTACGTATATGGAGTACGAATATTATAATAGCAACAGTTAATGCATTATGAAACGTGTTGACATTCATGATATGAATGAGTCAAGAACTGTTTATACAAGATAGTATTTACATGCAATACGTGATTGTAAATGATGAAATTAATTTATCAAGCGATACAAAACGAACATTGTAACATCGTTACGATGTTTTACCTATTGTAATTTATTTTTCATTTCCAGAACTGCGTTCAAGAAATGTCCGAAAGTCAGCGGGAAAGATATAGATCTGTACTTGCTGTACGTTGTCGTCACTGCCCACGGAGGATGGATAAAGGTGAGTCGATTTGTTTTAATTTTTCACCGTCATTCCTTTCACGGCGGAGGGATATTTGTGCGTGATCAACCGTGAACATTTTAAACGGAATTCGCGAGTGAGCATAACGAGTGAAAAATTAGGAGATATCGTGTCGACTGTATAATGCGTTCACCGTGCATCGTTAATGGGAACTTTATCCATCGCTTATGCCGTCGCATTTATTTTACATGTTACTGTAATCAAACACAATCGATTCACGATATATTGTACTTTCACGTGTAGGATACCGTGTGCATATATCACGAATTGTATAGAAATACTAAAAACTAATGCATTGTAAATTATCTGTAATAGCATATGAATTTTTTTCGGTATTAAAAAAAAGAAAAAAAAAGTATAATTTAGTGGACAAAATTTCAAGGCCAACACCTGGTTACTGCTTATTTTATTTTCATTATTATTCTTTACGAAGTTTATCGTCTTGTTTCCATAAAGTGGTTTCACGTTCAAAGAAAAATAGAAGACGAATGTATTAAATTGCAATTTTCATACGAAGTTTCTCAGAAAATACTAGAATATCAATATGCCGACGGAAATGATAGAATTCAATTTTCAAATTTTCGACGCATATTTAAAGAACAAATCAATCGAAAATATACGTGGGTCATACGTGGTTAAGGTAAAAGTGTCGAATTACTGTTACCGTCGATTTTTTTTCAACATTTTATACAGATGATTTGATTCGCGCGTATGATTAAGGGCGGAAGAATCCGAGAAGCGGCAGAGAAACGCGGGAAAACGATTGTTCCGTGAAACGGTCTTGAGTCGCCGTTCGACTAACCGTTCTCGACGAACGCGCGAGAATCGATCGGTCGAGCGTTATCTTCGCCGCGGGATCATCTTTCCTGCGCAAGAGACAGAGAGAAAAAAAACGGAAAAACTATCGCTTTATTTTGCGAACGGCGTTGCACAACGTGCTCGTGACACGGCTCATGTCTCGAGTGCCTTTTATAAACAGTAATGTTCACGCGTATTCCTTATTCATCGACGCGAATCGATATGGAATGTGTATCTCGATCGATCGATTTTACAGAAACACATCGAAAACAGTTCGTATTCTGACATTCTTTCCTCTTTTAACGTCAGAGGTTCTTTGTGTCGCCGCTGTGTGTTTCTAATTTTTTTGCTTCCTCGACTGACGTTAGCGAGTCGATTATATCTATAGCCGTGTGTATTAGGTTAGGATTCAGATTTGTTACTGCTCGGTTTACGTCACACACATACACACACCAATTAATTTAGCATTGTATTCGTTACATATTAGGTTATATTTCTCGTGTTTCAAGTCAACGGCGGTTCGAGTCAGTCGCCCGTTTTATAATTATTAAGAGCGTGATTTTTCCGTACGAACGAGGTCCACCGGTGTTACTACTCACGAAACTATTCTGCGTAAAGAGAAACCAAGGATATTGGTTTTTTCGCCTATCAGGTTTTTCTTTTGCAATCGCGGAAGGAACGTGTAGTCATTCAAATCCAGTCTATAGTCTCTTCTCAGGCTAATGGTTCGTGTTACGTGGCTACGTTAACTCAAGGAAATCTTATGAATGTTAATGTAAATTAAACGTTAAACATGTTTTCGTTTAAAAGATTTATTTCTTCTAATATGTATTTTCCCAAGTTAAGAATACAAAATATCTCTTTTATGAATATACAAATTTTACGTTGTAGTTGTTTAATCGATAGAGTAGATAAACCTTCAGGAATTAATTTTGCGATAAAATATCTAGTTATCCTTCTTTGTGTCGAATATGGTTACCACGGTCATTGTTTCTCCAGGCTAAGAACCACTGGTCTGTGTTTTCTTAAGAACGCGAACGACTATTCGAGAGTGTACGTATGTATCGTGGTATGTGTGCACATAAACGTCACATGGTACTTCTTCTGGCAGCGGCCTGGCGGTAAAGCTTTTCACCTCTTCTCTTTTCCCGTTCGTATCTGTTCGCCAGCTTAACTTTCCAACTGTCAATATATATATATATCCTTCTTCTTTAATTTTTTATAATTATTCTCAACTTTGAGAGTTGCAGATTCCTGGGAGCAGAATCGATTTTTAGTACCAGCGGCTGTTCTCGAAATTTAATATCCAGTAATGTTTCGCTGAAGTAAAAATGGGAAGTACTGCGATCGTAAAAATTTTGTTACACTTCAGACCGTCTGCGTGAGAGCGAAATATCACTTTGATGCAACAGGGCACAAGGAAACACCAATATCTCGATGTCCATAAACATTTAAAAGTTCAAAACATGACCACAATATGGGATCGCTTATATAAGCTATCCTATGGTTACGTTTGGAACTTTTAAATGTTTATGGATATAGAGATACTATTGGTGTTTCGTTATGCTCCGTCGCATCAAAGTGCCCCAACTCCTCTTACACAATTTTCTTTTGCTTCTTCGACGGATACGACACCTCGAGGATTTTGGTTTCCAGCTCTTTGTTAAAAAACAGTCGAACAGACATCCACTTTCCAAGGGAAGCCGGGTCCTCAGATCGCATTCCACACAATGAAGACGCGTTCTGGCTTCTTCTTACCTTATGTCTGAAATCTCCTCTTTCAGCTCTCGGGGTGAACGTCGATGAAAAAGCGCAAGCATATATAGAGGCAAGTAACCTCACGGTTCGTCATCGAAGTTATCGTCAAGGGTATAACCCTTTCTGAGACGTACATAATCCATACCAGTGGCTCCCAAACCGTGGGGATCCACGATGGAATTTTTAAGACCTCGAGGGGCGTGACCAGAGAATTTTTAGACTGGAATATGACAAGATTCTGAATAAAAACACGAACACACATGAGGACTTTCTTTTCATGTCGTGGCACATGATTTCAATTCCCTAACATTCGAAATTCACACAATCCTTTTCGTTTACTAACCTCTTCAGGGATACTTAGGACACATGTGTACGTTTTGTTTTTCTTTCATCATTCAAGCACAAAAACAATAAACATTCCTGTGACTAATTATTCACTAGAAACTTCCCCAAAATAAAGAAAACATTCTACCAACTGATTGTCGTTCATATGTATATACACATTTGAAATAAATACAGTTGAAAAATAAAACAAGATTAATTTTCTGGTCTTAATAAATTCGTCCCTGAAGAGGTTAAGCTCGCGTTACATTCAAAAACGAGACTTACCAACGTGGGTATAGAGCTGAAACCTCGATGTTAGGGGAATCATATCTGCAAATCGTGTGTCTGCTATCTGCCAACCGCCAGGCGGTTAAGCAGCGACACCGTAAAAGAGAAATCCAGGTATACCTCACATAGTAGTCCGGTTAAAAGAATCCGCGGCACGTTGCAAAGTTGACCGAAGCGTGCCTGCATTCGTCTTATCAGCCGATCTAAATCCAAATCCGGGTTAAAATTCTCGATATCATACACCGTTTTCCGTATGTGTGTCCTCAGTCGGGCCCGTCTTTGGTTTTCGCGAAACGTTGACTCGACCAAAATCCCCCGTGCACCCGCGGAGACAATACGGAAGTTGACGCAAGGTCAGGGTCATTTGCAGAGTCACACTGGTTCGAGAAGGGGTGGGAGATAGATCATGAACCCGAAGGTGGGAAGAAGGTGCGCGCTGGCCCGAAGGGAGGGGGAAAGAGATCATGGGAGCGAGAGAAAGGAGCGACGCGAAGGGAAACAGAGAGAGAGACTGTTAGAGAACACGAAGTGAGGAGGAGGAGGTGGTGGACGTAGCGTTGGTCGAGGGCTTCCCCTCAACAAGTGTGATCGAAGCTTGCTAGACTCTATATAACCTGCAGCTGGGTCGCGACTACGCTCAGAATGCATCGCGGACTGTGCGGTTCTCCGATTCGTCGAAGCTGACGTCACTCCTTTTTTTCTTCTTCACCGCCCGCCCTGGAACCCGCGGAACAGAAACTTGGTCGCGCGGCTGTCACATCGCGTGGAGAATGACTCACAGAGAAAGCCTCCTCTCTGGGAGTTGCGAATAAACGGTGGTAACGAGGATAACGCGACGGGGACATTTCGTTCGGTCCTCTTTGATTGTTAGTGCGCACCCGTGTGTGTCTTGATTCACTTCAAGATCGATTTATCCGCGGTGAGAGAAAGTCTGTATGTAAAACGACTTGGTCGCGCTATTTTTCTTTCGCTTCGTTGGATGATAGATTCTGGCTGACATCTCGTCTTTTAACTCTTGGGCGGAGCCGGGTCATTTTTGACCCATATCGAAATCTCGTGTAAATGTTTTATCAAAAGTTCTGATCTGTGTTTTGCGTAGACTTCAAGTCTGGGTCACAAGTGACTCGTCTTCGTCATTTAACATGTTGAGCGCCATGTCAGCCATCGGTGGCTGACACTAGACTTTCCGTTTAGGCCGCGTCACCCATCGGTGGCTGACAGCGTGTAACATGAGAACTATAAAAAACTATAAAGCGCGCATGGCCTGAACGGGATTGTCTTAGAAATACGCGTGGCGCTCAACGTGTTAAGGGGTTAAGTAACTGGGTGGTAAATAACCGTTGTTCTTTTTGAAATATGGATACTATCTACATGGAGTACGTAAAGATTATAACATCGTTAGAGAAAAAGTATTTTCGCGGATGAAGGTAGCTGTACAGTTATTAAAAAATTCGCCATGGCTCCAGAGGAAGTGAAGTCATTAAATGGTGTCGCGAAGTGTGAAGTACATGTCCAAAGACTTCAAGAAGTCATCCTGAATCGAGCTACTTAACAAGAAAGGGGAGGGAAAATGTCTCGAGCATTTCTATATAGTGAATTTATGACAGCGTCACGAGGGGAAGTCACGCCAGTTAAGGAGTAGTCGCTGTGAAGTGAAAGTATGTAGAAGGTAGAAATTACTCGCACGGGCTCTGATGTAGGATGTTCTTACGGTGGGAAGACGATTGGATAACGCGAAACATGCTCCCTTTGTAGATGTTGATCTGGAGGTACTCGACGTACGTGCGCGAGAAATTTAAAATAAACCGTAA